AGTTTCTATTTCTCTGCTGAGATGCCTTTATATTCACTCATTCTGACAATATTTTCCTTTAGTTCTTTGAACATATTTATAATAGTTTCTTTAAAAGCTTTGTCTGCCAAATCCAACATCTGGACCATTTGGGGATTAGTTTCTATTGACTTTTTTTTTTTTTTTTTTTTTACTATGGGTAATATTTTCCTGTTTCTTTGCATACCTAACAATTGTTTAGGATACATGAAGACATTCTAGATTTGATCTTCCTCTGCAGAGTTGATTTTTGCCAGAAGTCAAACTGTCTGCCCACCTTGATCTTGCATAGGCTTGCATAAACTTGGTCTTCCACTTTGTTGGATGAATCTTTGCAAAGTCAAAGATGTTCCCCAACCTCCTCTAACTACCGCAGGACTCAACTTCCAAACTCAATTTCCCTTGCAATTTTTCTTGACAGCACTTGGCTCTAAGCTTTGTTAGGGTAGATTTAAAGTAGGCCTTACTCTAGGGCAAGTGTTGGCAAACTATAGCAATGAACTAAGTCTAGCCCTCTGCCTTTTTTTTTGTTTGTTTGCGGTACGCGGGCCTCTCACTGTTGTGGCCTCTCCCGTTGCGGAGCACAGGCTCCGGACGTGCAGACTCAGCGGCCATGGCTCACAGGCCCAGCCGCTCCGCGGCATGTGGGATCTTCCTGGACCGGGGCACGAACCCGCGTCCCCTGCCTCGGCAGGCTGACTCTCAACCACTGCGCCACCAGGGAAGCCCTGCCTTTTTTTGTTAAAAAAAAAAAAAAAGTGACACTGGAACAAAACCATGCCCATTCATTTACATGTTGTCTTTGGATGCTTTTGATCTACAATAGCAGAGTTGAGTAGGTATGAGAAATATTGAATGGTTCACAGGGCTTAAAATAATTACCATCTAGCCCTTTATATTAAAAAAAAAAAAGAAATTTACCAACCCTGCTTGAAAGCATAGACTTTTGCCCCTAAGACACAGATTTTCTGTGTCTTTTCTGGATGCTTGGGATATTATTAAGGTGTTAAAAGGTTTTTCCACTGTTTCTGGGCTGGACCACCAGTGTCCCTTAGTATCAGCTGCTTGACCTTTAGTATCTCTGTCCAATTCTCAACCCTGGAGCCGCCATTTTTGGTAAATCTCATATAGTTTCGACCTGTTCATGGGCACTCTAGCCTGGCCAAGGACTCCCTGGGTACACCCAGAGAGTGTACCCAGGGAGTCCTCTTCCCCCCCAGCCCTATGCAACCCTCTCCTCTCTAGTGCACTGCCCTGTGGATTCTAGCTGCTTCAATTGCCCCAAACTCAGATCTGTGTTTCCTTAGTTCAGCAGGAGTGCTGTGCTCAGCTAAGACTCTAGCATACTCCGCTGCAATCAGGAAACCCTCCCCTGGAAGACAGCCAAGGTGAGCATCAGACTCACCTCATGAGTTTTCCTTCACTCAGGACGGAAATACTGTGCTTTCTGTTGACCAATACCTGAAAACAGTTACCTGATACATTTTGCCTGGTTTTGTGGTTGTTTACTGCAGAAGGACCAGTTTGTTAACCAGTTATAGCAAGAACTGAAAGTCCTCCCCTGAAACATTCCTTACTGACTTGTGCTCATTTTTAAAAAAAGAAAAAGACACTAGTGCAGATCATCTATACTAGGGTGATTTTATACTGATGTCCTGGAAATATTAATAAGAAGTTTTACAGAACATTTATAAATCATATGAGAAGGAAAGGAGGGTTTCATATAGCCATATGGATTAAATCCATCCTTTCAGAGCTGGGACAATGTTCTATTTTGTTAGGTTAGGTGTGCTATAAAATATCATAAAATAATTCTTGCTTGGTTAGAGGTTATTTAAATCTGAGAATTTAGTGATCTTCCTTCTATATCTCTTTGTCATATGTATTCAACTAGACAGTTACTTTAAAAATCTCCGCATCCACTTGTTGGGTTTTGAGGTTACTGACAAATGCTATCCAGCCTGCTATCAAGGGTTTATGCAAATACATCTTAATCTAGATCCTGGTGCCAATTCCAAACTCCAAAGTAAAGCCTCAAATTTTTCTTGGTCAAGGAAAAGCAACTAAAGGTCAAAAGGAAAACTGAGAAGAAAGGAAGAATGGGAAAAAATAAGACTGTGTGAATTCTTTGTATTTCTTTAGAACTTTCTTCTAAAATAAGACATTCAACAAACTTACACTGAGCATCTACTAAGCACTCAGAATTGTGCTCAGTACAGTCATACAAAATAATACCAAGCATGGTTTTACACTCTGCAGCCTCTGTCACAGTGGGCTACAGAAATCACAAAAGTTAGGGCTTCCCTGGTGGCGCAGTGGTTGAGAATCTGCCTGCTAATGCAAGGGACACGGGTTCGAGCCCTGGTCTGGGAGGATCCCACATGGCGCAGAGCAACTAGGCCCGTGAGCCACAACTACTGAGCCTGCGCATCTGGAGCCTGTGCTCCGCAACAAGAGAGGCCACCATAGTGAGAGGCCCGCGCACAGCGATGAAGAGTGGCCCCCGCTTGCCACAACTAGAGAAAGCCCTCGCACAGAAACGAAGACGCAACACAGCAAAAATTAATTAATTAATAAACTCCTACCCCCAACATCTTTAAAAAAAAAAAAGAAGAAGAAATCACAAAAGTTGTCAGGAAGTTAAAGTAACAATGTTGCTTGCTTCATAAATTCTCAGAATAAGCAGAAGCCTGGAAGGCCTGATTACCCTGTGACAAAGACCTAAATCAGATTAAGGACTTGGAACACTGCTTCTTTTCCTTCTTCTTTAAAATTCTTTTCCTTTGTGAAAGAACAGAGTTCATGTTAGATAGATAATTATTCTATCATGTGATTTTTCTTCAAAATAAACAATCTTGATGGCTGTGCTATCCAACAACTTCATGGCTCCACATTCAGAGTCAAGGATCTATGTCACACTTGACTTGCAAAACAGGTTGCCTCTGATCTCGGTGCATTCCTGAGGCAGTGACCCGTAATGACATCCCTAGGTAGCTGAACAGTACGTCACATTCAGTGAATAACCCTGGTAGGAGGTCAAGCTTTAAAGTTTGTGGAATACTTTCTAGCACCTTGAACTCTTAGAAGATGGCTTACTCCATCTTGTAAACTCATCTCAGCTTACTTCAGTTTTACATCTGGAATAGAGATACTAATATCTCCCTGTATGAAAGTAGGAAGTTGGTGTGGATAATTTCCTTTCATCTATATTTTAGATGTTCTATCATGAGACTGTCAGTTTCCTAGGAGTCTATAGGAGTGTGTGGGTTCCAATGGCCATATTTCCTAAGCATAACCCTAAAACTTTCCAAGAAGCTTAACAAAATATTGTTATTATATTTCTTTGAAGCTGTCATAGATTGTAAACTGCATCTAATTTCAGAGATTATAAAATATTAAAAATTGTATATATACATACATATATTTCTTAGAATCCATGAAATACATTCTTATTTTTATACCAAATACTTACCAAAAACCACAATTAGTATATATTTCCAGGATGCAAAGAAACTCATGGGTAATTTCAATCCATTTTTATAATAACACTGAGATAAGTAAAGCAGAAATTTCTCTCACTTGATAGGTAAGGGAACTGGCTCAGAGAGGTTGCTTGACTAGTCTAAGGTCACACAGCTAACCATGACAGAGGTGGGACAGGATTACAAGTCTCTTGACTCTAAATTCTGCATTTTTTCCACTATACCACATTCTACCTTCCAGAGAACAGGTATAACAGATATGTTAGCTACATCATCAACATCCATTTCCTCTTATCATCCAGCACTGGAGGATAGGTCATTATTGGTTGAGTCAATCACAATAATTCCTATTCCTGCTTTCCCAGCCTCCCTTGAACCTTTGGGTGGCCACTTGGCTAAGTTCCGGCCAATGAGACATAAATGGAAGTATGGTCAGAAATAAAGCTCTGAGAAGTGTTTTTTATCTATGTTCTGTTTTGCATTCCCAATGAAGATAACAGATATTACTCATGCTGTCCTAATCCTACTCATGTTCTCTTTCTTTCCTGCCTTGAATACAGTCATGATGGCTGGCTGGAGCTACTATAACCACAAGGAAAGGCTAAGAGAATCACAGAGTCATTGATCCTGATGTCATTGAGCCACTGAACCAGATCAATAATCACTCATCTCTATATATATTGTTATGTGAAAAAAAAATTTTGGTTTAAGTTATTATAATCAAGTTTTCTGATACTTACAGGCAAATGCAATTCTAATAAAATAAGAGAGAGAAATTGTGGCAAGCAAAATTCTATGATGACTCCCATAATCTCCACACCCTGGTGTTACTATTGTGATTATGTCATAGTACATGGCAAAAGGGATTTTGCAGATACAATTAAGGTTACTAATCAATTGACCTTAAGATAGGGTGACTATCCATGCAAGCTTAAGCTAATCAACGAGCCCTTTAAAAGGAGAGAGTTTTCTCTGGCTGGTAGCAGAAGAGGAAGCCAGAGAGATTCAAAGTGTGAAAGGAAGGTTCCCCACTGCTGAGATGGAGGCCACAGGGCAAGGATCTGAGGGCAGCCTCTAGGAGCTGAGAGTGGTACCCAACTGACAGCCAGAAAGATAAAGGAGACAACAATCCTACAACCACAAAAAACTGAATTCTCTCAACAAAAGTCACAAGCTTAGAGGAGATCCTGAGTTCCAGGTGAGAACACAGTGACCAACCCTTAATTTCAGCCTGTCACATACTGGGCAGAGGATCCACCCAGGCTGTGCCAGCGCTACAGTTTAAAAATGGGACAAAAGATACAAGATGCGGTTAAGGTTCTCGGAAGAGAGGACGCGGTTAAGAAGGCACATCTTGGGGCCCAACCTGGACTTATTGAATCAATTCTGGGAGTGGATTTCAGGAATCTGCATTTCAGCAAGCTCTTCAGAGGAAAGGTCAAGTGAAGACAAGTGGCCGTGTGCTCTATAAGAGAGCTTTTACCAGAAACTGTACTGTACCAGAACCTTGATCTTGGACTCTCCAGCCTCCAGAACTTGTGTTTACTGATCCATCTCCAGGGCCACCGCCATGTCCAGCCGGGGTGAGAAGAAGTCCACTAAAAGTCCCGGTCCGCCAAGTCAGAAGTCATCTTCCCTGTGGGCCGGATGCTGCGGTACATCAAGAAAGGCCACCCCGAGTACAGGATCGGAGTGGGCGCGCCTGTGTACATGGCCGCCGTCCTGGAGTACCTGACAGCGGAGATTCTGGAGCTGGCTGGCAATGCAGCAAGAGACAACAAGAAGGGCCGGGTCACGCCCCGGCACATCCTGCTGGCCGTGGCCAACGATGAAGAGCTGAATCAGCTGCTAAAAGGAGTCACCATCGCCAGCGGGGGAGTGTTACCAAACATCCATCCAGAGTTGCTAGCGAAGAAACAAGGATCCAAAGGGAAGTCGGAAGCCATCATCACACCACCCCCAGCCAAAAAGGCCAAGTCTCCGTCCCAGAAGAAGCCCGTGTCTAAGAAAGCAGGGGGCAAGAACAGGGCCTGGAAATCCAAGAAGCAGGGAGCAGTCAGCAAGGCAGCCAGCGCTGACAGCACGACCGAGGGCACACCCGCCGATGGCTTCACTGTGCTCTCCACCAAGAGCCTCTTCCTCGGCCAGAAGCCAAACCTTATTCACAGTGAAATCAGTAATTTAGCCGGCTTTGAGGTGGAGGCCATAATCAATCCTACCAATGCTGACATTGACCTTAAAGAGGAACTAGGAAACACGCTGGAGAAGAAGGGTGGCAAGGAGTTTGTGGAAGCTGTTCTGGAACTCCGGAAAAAGAACGGGCCCTTGGAATTAGCTGGAGCCGCTGTCAGCGCAGGCCATGGCCTGCCCGCCAAGTTTGTGATCCACTGTAACAGTCCCATCTGGGGTGCAGTGTGAGGAACTTCTGGAAAAGACACTGAAGAACTGCTTGGCCCTGGCGGATGACAAGAAGCTGAAGTCCATCGCCTTTCCATCCATCGGCAGTGGCAGAACGGTTTTCCGAAGCAGATGGCAGCTCAGCTGAGCCTGAGGGCCATCTCCAGTTACTTCATGTCAACAACGTCCTCTTCCATCAAAACGGTGTATTTTGTGCTTTTTGACAGCAAGAGTATAGGCATCTACGTGCAGGAAATGGCCAAGCTGGTCGCCAGTTAGGCTGAGGAACTGCAGAACCAGCCCGCACCGTGCCCCCGCCTCCAATTTGAAAGAAAGAAAAGAAAAAAGAAAAAAAAAAAAAGATTCCCTCCACTCCTAGTGGGAGGCAGGAACCCTTTCATTTTTTTCAGTTTTGCTCATCTAGGGAAAATAAGGTTTTGGTTTCCAGTTTAATTGTTTTTGACCTTCTAAAATGTTTTTACGTTAGCACTGATAGTTGACATTACTGTTGTTAAGCACTGTGTTCCAGACCGTGTCTGACTTTAGTGTAACCTAGGAGATTTTATAGTTTTATTTTAATGAACTCCTGCTTGACGCAGAGCAGCAGGGAGAGCAGTGTTTTCTACGTGGGGCAGAGTTCAGGAAGCCCATTTTGTAACCGTGTGTCGTGTGCTTTATTGTATACCCAGTGGCATTCTTTTTACTATAATGTTCCTTTTTTTCCCCTCAAGAAGAAAAATCATGAATTTGCAGCAGACTTAATTTTTGTTTACTTTTTGTCTTAATGATGGATTTGAAAATGAAAGATTTAAAAGGCAGAACAGAATCTGTTGTCCTTAATTATATTTGCAATTTGGAATTCGTGGGAATTGATTTAGTAAAATGTTAAACTGTTAAAAAAAAATGGGAGAATTAATTCTAGAGCTCAGAATCTCAAGGGCCTGGGCATAGCCTTCTTTAGACAATTTCCAAACATGGATAAGGGACTGAATTTCAACAAAAATCAACTATTGCCCATAGTACGGAGTAAATTAAAAAACAATACAGTAGCAAAATACCACTAAACTTTACATGTAGCACTTTGGAACATATTACATGGATTTCTCTCTCTAGAAAGTTTAATTTCTTTTTCTGCCTTGCTTACTTAGGCCACTGCAAAATTAGCTTGCCTTTCCAGAGACAAGGAGCAAAGCTGAAAGGGTGATCATTTTCAGTGCAAAACGTTAAACGACAATTTTGGGTGCCTTTCCTTTGAAAATCAGGAGGCCAACAAACATTCAACCAGTTTTCTGGAGAAGGAATGATGATATCATGCCAATGACTCTTCAATTAGGGATGTTAGCATTTTGGAAGGTGTCAGAGGTGGGATGAAGGAAGAATGAGCACAAAGGAAGGAAAGTAAAAGTAGAACCAATTGTGGAATCACCAAACTCTTTCTAAAAATAGGATATGTAGGTACTTCCATGGTGGTACAGTGGTTAAGAATTCACCCTCCAACACAGGGGACTTGGGTTCGATCCCTGGTCAGGGAACTAGATCCCACATGCTGCAACTAAGGAGCACACATGCCGCAACTAAGACCTGGTGCAACAAGGATAAATTAAATAAATAAAAATTAAAAATAAATGTTTCCAAAAAATCAAATAAATAAAATAGGATATGTATTAATTCATCCAACAAATTGTTAGTAAAGGCCTGTTAGATATTCGGGTTACAAAATAGATAGATACAGACCCTGCCTTCAAGGGGTTTCTATCCAAGAGGGGAAAACAGGGACGGGACAAGTCAACTATAAACAAATAAGAATCCTGCAAATCAATAAATGGTTCAGACAAGGAATAGCAAGGGATCCTATAATATATAGGGTGATAGGAGCTCTCTCTGAACAGGTTACATTTAACTACTACCTGAAGGATGAGAAGACCCAGACCATGACAAGAAGTAGAGTGTATTCATGGTAGAAAAGACCAAAGACACAAAGAGTCTGAGATGGGAAAAAATTAACAAGAAGAAAAAAAAAAGAAAAAACTTGAACTGAGCATAGAGGGAGCAAGGAGGATGGGGCATGGGATAAGGTTGCAAAGGTAGTTCAGTTTATGAACTATGTAGATATGGGGTCTTGTGAGCCAGATTTAGATGTTTAGATTTCATTCTAAGCACAATGAAAAGCCAATGAAGGATTTAAAGCAGAGTAACAAAATTCAATTTGCCTCTTTAGAAGCTGAGTGGAGAACAGATTGGAAGAGGAAAGAATGGAAGCAAAGAGAACAATTAGGAAGCTACTGTACTAGTTGAGACAAAAGACAATGAAACAACTAAAGTATCCATCAACAGATGAATGGATAAACAAAATGGGGTATATACATATAATGGAATATTATTCAGTCTTAAATAGGAAGGAAATTCTGACATATGCTATAACACGGATGAACCTTGAGGACATGTGCTAAGTGAAATAAGCCTGTCACAAAAGGACAAATATTATACTATTCCACTTATATGAGGTACCTAGAGTAGTTGGATTCATAGCAACAGAAAGTAGAATGGTGGCTGCCAGGGGCTGGAGTGGGGTGGGGAGAAAGGGAGCTATTATTTAATGGGTACAGAGTTTCAGTTTTGAAAGACGAAAAGTGCTCTGGAGATGGATGGTGGTGATGATTGCACAACAATGTGAATGTACCTAATTCCACAGAACAATACACTTAAAAAAGGTTAAATGATACATTTTTTGTTATATATATTTTAACACTATGACGCTCCAGCCAAGCCCTAGGACCCTGTGACTCCAAATGGACAGAAAAGAGAAGGGAGCCCAAGTTCGGGAGAGCTGCCATGCTCTGTCCCTCAATACAAGGGCATGTAGGAGCCAGAGGTCCTGGACCAAGCAGGCCACTCTATAGCTAGCTGCTTAGAAAAAGGTTGGAAATGCGGCTTTTCTCTATGAGATTCTTTGAATCTCAGGCTTGGGTGGAAAAAATGAAAATGCTGCTAAACAACTCAGTAAATACAGAAACAAATGTCCTTGGTGATAACTCTATCAGCAGGAGAGGGGCAAGTACCAGGCATTCCATAACAAGGGCAGGAATTTCCTGAAACCACAGACAATTTTACAATTTTGAATAATTATTAAGCGAGATAATGTGGGTGAGAGTGCTCTGTAGACTGCAGAGCATGATTCAAAAAGTAAGCTCTGCATATTTTTGTCAATCAAGGAGAATGTGGAAAGGGATAGGGGCCCAGAAAACAAAGTCTGGTGCTTTGCAGACTCTCCTGGGGCCACCAACCATTCTTCCCCATGGTTGGTCAGGGAAGCAAAGGCACAGGGAAGGGAGCAGCTGCAGTGCCTCTTGCTTTCTAACAGTGATGCCCACGGCCCTATCTCCTACCTCCTTGCCCTGGACCCAAGGACTACGTATGTGCAGGCTCACCTTTGTCATCTCACGGATCATCTCCTTTGTTCCTCCCACCATCCTTCTGAGGTAGGTACTCTTAGTACTAATCAAAAAATTTCATTTTTGAGATGACAAAGCTGAGTAAAGAGAAGTTAAGTAACTCACTCAAGGCCAGAGAGCTAGTAAATGGCAGTGCTGGGATCCCAACCAAAACTGCTCTGACTTTGTAGACTTTTCTCAAACAATTCATAGACTCATTCAACCAACCAACCAACAAGAAATAAGAGCTTAAAATGTTAGACTTTCCTGGCAGTGCAGTGGTTAAGAATCCGCCTGCCAATGCAGGGTACACAGGTCGAGCCCTGGTCCGGGAAGATTCCACATGCCGCAGAGCAACTAAGCTCTTGCATCACAACTACTGAGCCTGCGCTCTAGAGCCCGCGAGCCACAACTACTGAGCCCGTGTGCCACAGCTACTGAAGCCCACGTGCCTAGAGCCCGTGCTCCGTAACAAGAGAAGCCACTGCAATGAGAAGCCCACGCACCGCAACGAAGAGTAGGCCCCACTCACCACAACTAGAGAAAGCCCGCGCACAGCAACGATGACCCAACACAGCCAAAAACAACACAAATAAATAAATATTTTTTTAAAAAAAGCTTACTATGTTCCAAGTCCTGACTCTGTGCTAGACGTTAGGTATAGAGAAGTAGATAATACAGAATCCAGAAAGGTCAATTAGCCAATGGCCTCATACTCACAAAGGACTTTAAATACTAATAAAAATGAAAGCACATGTTTCTTCACAGAAATACAGTGAAAGGATTGAAAGATGTGCCTCCAACCTTAAATACATGTCCCATTACCAAACCACCCTTCACAGAGAGTTT